TTTTACAACCTCCTCCAGAGTAAACAGACATGGACACATACTGAAAGCTGAGGTAAAGAGCTAAAGACTGTATATCCATTTAATTTTTTGCAGATGTTTCAACAAATCGCTGTACCTACTTCCCAGCTCAAGACTTTATAAGTTATAATGCTGTTAATGGAAGAAAATGAATGGATTCTCAATGAGATGTTCAACAGACTGAACACATCTTTCTTGCTCTGGTTTTGCCTCTATCAGATCAAACCTCACCTGAGCTTTCAGTGAGCTGATTGTGTCCTCCAGCTCCTGCCTGAGCTCCACTGGCATCAGACCTTTGATCTTCTCCTCATACTCCTTATGTACCATGGTTACCTGAGAAGACAGAGGTTGGAAAGATGCATAGTCAGCAAGAAAGTAAGGCACCACATTAATCAAATAATACTTATTAAGTAATATATAGTAATCATGCACTCTCTTGTTGTCTCTGATGCCCCAGAGACGCTCTTATACGGTGTGTCTCAACTGGATAACAATTGTGGTATTGTTGCTGAATAAGTATTTCTTTCTTTCCACAGACACACTCACATGTACGCATTTTCAGGCCAAACCAACAACTCCCTTAGATGAGGCGCGCACACACACACACACACACTGTGGGTATCCCCTCTTTATTCATGGCTCAGAGTATTCCCTCGCTCTTCACAGCTCCTTCACATCTCCACAGGGGGTCCGCAGACTGACATTACTCGCTCTGCGCAACACCCCCTACTGGATGATAGTGACTACAGCGAGATCTGACACAAAGCACTTATGGGCTCAAGACAGCTGGGTTTGGAAAAGGACAGGGCCATGGTGGAGGGCAGGACACATCAAACGCAGCAGCAGCGGCTCAATAGCTAGCTAGCTATCTCCACTGGGGAGGACTGGAGGAAGTCTGTCTGGGGCTAAATTACACTCCACTAAACCAGAGTCTGATTATAGAAGTTGAAAAGGGTTTGGTTAGCGCAACCCCCACTTTTTACCCAGAAACACACATGTATGGACACACACACACACGCACGCACACACACAAACGCAGATACGCACTTTAACAGTATTGTAAAAACATTTACAGCATTTTCTGAAGAGTCGCTGAATCAATTAATTCAGAGCTTGATGAATAGTTTAACAGAGCTCGGGGGATTAATTCGACCCGTGAAAAGCAACAGTTGCCCCCCTCCTCCCCAACATATTTCAAGGTGTAACCAGGGGAGAGAGTCTGAGCATTTTAACTGACCATAATGTGTTTTACAGAGCCAAAGTCCACTAGCGTTAAGAATATCCCCACAATCCCCACCTCTCATCAGTCTTTCAAGTGAAGAGAGCGTGAATGAGGTGGTGGGGGCGGTGGGTGGATGGGGAGGGGAAAAAAAAAAAAAGATTGGTTTCCCTAAAATAATCTTCCTGTTGTGGATTTAACTGATTGTTCTGGCTTTGGCTAATTAATCTTCCTGGGCACAATGAAAGGGATTGGGAAGCACTTCAAAGCAACCCCCAGTATAAATGATCCCAACATGAAGCAGCTCACTTTGTCTCGGCACAGTGTGCTGTAGATTAGTCTGCCACAACTTTGCCAATTTTTCAGGCTCCGTCTGCCCTATTCATTTGAAAGTGTTGGACCAATAACGTCAGGCTGAGAATCCATCAGTTTACAAAAATATGTCTTTTTTTTTTTGTGTCCGCGCTGTGTGAGAATGAAGTCAAGGATAATTTGAAAGAGAGGCCTTTAAAAAACAAGGGCTAAAAAAACCAACAAAACAAAACTTGGAGGCTTTAATTTGAATGTCCAGGATTTTTTTAAAAAATGGGCTCAAGCGAAGAGGAGTGCAGATTTTCAAAATGTCTCTCTATCTATAGCAGCTCCTGTAGTCATAACAAAACGGCAAGCCAAGACAAAACACACTTCACTACCTCAGACCAAAGCAATAAACAATGGTTGAATAAACACATCCCTTACCAACCACTCTGAATATAAGTCTTAGATTCTTCAAAAGCCAAGTTCCTCAGTGTTGCATTCTTGATTCATGTATGGTGCCGTCACCGCAGCAACGAGAAATCCACTTTGCCTAAATTACAAGCTCCTTTGCGGCAATGCTGTCTCCGTTTTCTGTCCCATACATTCGGCAAGGCAGCAATAACGCTTTCACGGCGGCTGGATGATGTACATATGGTTGTAAGGGCGACAAACTTGAAAAGTTCATGTATTATATGACATGGTAAGGTCATACAGCTTACATTTGCCCCAATGACTTCATGGTTATGGCACTGAAAGAGTGGCTGCGAGAGAAAATATTACTTGAATTTTCTGCTGCTGTTCCCATCATAAAATAATATGATGGGAACAGCACAGCACATACATATTCCATGAACACACAAACACAAAAATACACCTCAAATCCAGATGAATTATACCTGTTATACAAATTTCCAGCTGCATATTTGTCATTCTTGGATTGTCCTACAGCAGCTTTGGATGAGTCACAGTTCAAAATAATACGTTTATCTTTCACTGAGCCCTTTGTGCAGCCCCTCAGTTCATCCTCTGAAACAAGATGTTTTATAGCTCAGTCGCACAAGAGTAAAAATAGAAAACTAGCCTGCATGTGATTAGGAAAAGTGGCGTTTTCCTGCTGATTGCATTGATCTTTTTTTGGCTGCAAGTAGTTGCGGTGACTAACTGGTCACCCAGAGGTTGAGGGTGTTGCACAACCAACTTTTTCATTGCAAAGCGATTGGACAGGTTGCCTGGTAGGAGGTAACCGACCTCCAAACAATAGTGGTGTGACTCAGACTCACTACAATCACTCTTAGACAGGTTGGTGAAGGCTTTGCAAATAACTGCAATCTAATTTATAAACACAAGCAGATTGCTAACGTGCTGCGCCGATGAGTGCCCATTGTCTATGACGCTTTTCTTTGCAATAGCAGACTCACCATAACTGGTTGGCCACTGGTTGTATTCTGGTTATGATCGTATATAAAACCAAAATTTGCCAAGTGCTTATGTTGTGCTGCAGTTAAATCGCGGTCCAGCAGTAACTATGTCACTATCTGTGGAGGAATTGTTGAATTTATGTTTCGGATCCAAGAGATTCTGGATGGACACTAAATTTATGTAGATGACAAGTTTGTCTTATACAAACAGATTACAAGTAATTGCCAACTTGATCTCATTTGATTGCAAACTGGTAGCAGAGCGACTCCACCTAACGGACTCGATTTTATTGCCGTCTTGATGCACTAAAGTCGCTCGGAAGACAGCAGTTGACTGAGAATAATTGCAGACCTGGTCTCCATCTTCAAAGCTGCCATTTCATAGGCAATACGATTGCAAGTTAACTGCATAGCTTTAAATCAAATTTCTGATTGGCTGCCCCTCGTAAAGAGAACGTTTGAATAGCAGGTGATGGCAGTGGTGGTGGTGGGAGAGGCAGGGCTGCTGTGCGCCTGATGTCTATACTAACATTACAGGGATCCAAGAGTAGAAACTTGTGTACAATTTAGAGCAGCCTGAAGCCTGAAGCCTGAGCTTTTGGCTCACTTGTACATACCTCATTATTTCAAACTTTGGCCATGTTTAATTTAAGCATCCACCACTGTAAGAGAGTACATAGGAGTACATAGGGAAAAGCATATATATAGGGCTCCTTTAACCTGAGGGTGTATTTCTGCTCTTTCTACAGTGTAGCAGACCACAACATTTGCCTTCCCTGATCTAAAGCTTAGCCATAGTTTACTATGCAACATGTGTGGGTGGAAGCAGGACTCTTTTTTTTTTTTTGTTCATAACAACGCATCTAACAGACAACAGTTACAGAATAAAGCAGACAAGAATAGGTATAATACCAATTCAAATTTCTGACTCCACCATGTCTCACAATGGAGTTAAAATTTAAGACAGAAGCATCTAACTCTCCGCAGATGTCTGACTCGTTTCCTAAGAGACGCCGTTTCTTCGACTTTGCATTTTCTTGCCCTATGCGAGGTCCCTCTGCTCGCATCTCTCCTTTTCTTCACGCAAACACATTTTACTTTTCTTTCAACATGATTTTTGCAGCAAAGGCATGTTTATTTTTCTGACAGGTGGAAGGAGACGTGGCGGCATCTGAGAAAAAAGGCTCCTCACTTATTAGGACAGATGTTTGATGCCTTTGAACAATACTGCTGATCAAACCTTCCATGAGGTTCTTTGGTCACTGACGGACTGCAGATGCAAGTGAATAGGAAAGAAAAGAGAGGAAGGGAAACACAGAGAAAAAAAGTGTGCCACTATTTTCCCTGAGCAATGAAAAGGGACGTTGACTTTCTAAAGAGAAATCTGGTTTCATCTCAGAAGCTCTTTGAGAGATGAGATTTTGTTTGTTCTTGATGAAGCGTGATTCTCTAGTTTTGAAGACTGTGAGGAGCGGCAGTCGTTTTCCCCTCCCAGTCATCTTAAAATGACAACATTTCATCTATATATAGTCTTTAGATTGTGGTTTTGACTTTCCCTTGCGTTTGGTACCGTCACATGGCATGGTTTTTGACAGCTGCCAGCAGAAAGGAACAAGCCCTCAACACTTTCAACGTTCAAATGAAGTTTGTCACATTGTTGGGGAGGCTTGATGTATGCTAATGAAGTTGGGGTGTATGTGTGTGTGTGTACAGGCTTGCGTGGGACAGGTTGGGGGGTGGAGGTGGAAGAGGGAGGAGGAGTGGGGGTAGCTGCTGGAAAGACATTTTTGATATACACCCTTGTTCCGGAGTGACAAAAACCTTGTCAGGAACAAGGGGGTACATCAAAAATGACGCCACTCACAAAGTTTGCGCCTCCACATCCACTGAGTTGGCACTCAGTGAGTTCACCAAGGAGCGATTTGAATTCAGAAACGCTTTGCTGCGAGAGGGAAAAAAGGAAACCGCTTCACAGAAATGAGGGAGAAAAAAATAGAAGAAGAAGAAAAAAAAAAAGGAAAGGCAGAAGGAGATTAGAACTGGCTACAGATCTTAGTGAGGTTGTTAGAACTATGGGATGGATTGGTGGCTGCTGATGTAATGTGCCTCAACAAAAACAGCACACAGGAAAACGGCTCAGCCTACAGAACTTAAGTTCAGCTCCTCTGCATTTTTATGTCTGCATCAATACTGAAAACAACTAGAGACATGATTTATTTTTTATTACACCGAGCTCCCGTGTTGCACAAGGATACATCTCTAAAACTTGTACAGTTCGCCATGCCCACTGTATCATTATGTATTTATACAAAGAGCTGTAGTCTTCAATATTCTGCTCCTGTCTTCAAGGAGAATTGAACCACACAGCGAGCTGATGATCTGCCATTTTAGAGTGGGGGAGCCTGCGAGGGCCCTGCTAGTGTAAGGCAAGCAACATCTGTGTGAAGTCTGGGCAGAAAAGCTGTTTTAGCATGAGAGGGATCGGATTACAAAGACACATCTTGGCAGATAAACCAGGGCAATATTATTGCTGTGTGGAGACTGGATACCTTTAGGTTTAATGGCAAATAAAAAACAATGCGCAGACTCTGTCCACAGCATCTCTAACACATGTATAATGTACATTAATCCTGATAGCTGCATGCAAACTATGTCGTTTTCTTGACCAAGAGCATTATATGAGGCAGGAGTCACTATATCATGTAGCCAGTCGCTTCCACTAAGGTGTAATTGTAAATCGCTAAGAAAGGATGCTAATACGCACCTACAAACATTTGCTACAAGATACTATAAACTTGCCGGATGTTGACAATGGAAAAGAAACATTGTTCACATACTTACAAATGCCAACATGGCCTCATAACCACTTATACTTCCACATAATTAACTGTAACCTACATTCTTGGTCATATTCATCCATAAGTTTGCTAAGGTCTGCTCGTCGTGGTAGTGTACATTTTGTCATTTTGAGGGTCTGGGTCAATGTCTGCATGCCTGCAAGTCCACGGAGAATTTACATTACAATGCACCAACAAGGCATGCGCACCAGGCAGTGGACTTCAAAGATGGCGCAGGAGTCATTCCTCCTGCGCCATTAGACCTCCAGATGAGTTAGCTCGAGTCCTAAATGGGGAGGTCAAGACACTAGATATTTAGGAGTTGGTACCAGTATCAGCAGAATTCAACTGAATTGAGTAAGGTGAGCAATCATGAAATAATGACCTCTTATACTTAAAAATAAATCCTTTTATTAAAACAGTGCGCAGACTGAAATGCTAGGATGGTTGACAAGTAGCTAGCTAATGTTATTACAAGATGTCAGTTTCATTACATTAGCTGAGCATCTATGTAATTAGAGCTGCAGTAAACAAATGACAACGACCTTGTTGTGATAGAGGGGTCACAACAAGCCGAAACAACACCAAAGTCTGCTTCACATCAGCAGTTGTGATGTGTAACAATTCAGGAGCAGGACATTGCTGAGGTATGAACGGTTACAATATCAGAAAAGAAAGGAAAAAATTACCCTCAGGTTTCGCTAAAAGCAGCAAAACTTTGGTGGATAAGATAAAAGAAACGTACAACTTTCATGAGTGATTATTCAAGCATAAAAAGAGCAGTGGATAGACATGTCTCACAAACCCAGGATGTATAATAATACATTCTTTCGGAATAAGGTATTGGCTAGACACACGTAAAACCTGTTCATGCTATGAGAGACACTTATTAGCTGGGTGCAGGCACTCTGAACATCCACACTGCCAAAGCCTCCTCTTCTCCCTCTGATGAAGTCATACTCTGTGCTGAAACATTAGCTGCTGTACCTTATTAAAAACCTTCAAACCCCATCATTCCAGATCCTATCTCAGCTGCCCTGCAATGTGTACCCTGTAATGGGTTCTTAGCTCTTCTGGCACATGCACACATTACTTTATTTCTATGATGGCTCACTTCCTGTTGATCTCTGCGCTGCCAACTTTGCTACAGCAAAACAATCTGTACTGGATTAGCGAAATGTGTTAGTGGCTGTGAAAAAAAGAACTGTCAAGCACCTAAAATTGGAACCAAATGCTAAACAGATTTTTAGTCGTGTTTACCCGTTCTTTGCTTCAGTCGCAGTGTTGCTGTTTTTGCTTCAGAAGGCAGCATTTTTGGAATCAGCATCATAATTCATGTTAGTGGCACCGCAATCAAAAATTTAGCAAGACTAATAAAACTGTGATGAAGCTTTGCAAAAGAGGAGAACACTGTGGAAATTGCAATACAACAGCTGTACCTTTAAGGGGAACTAGTTTGTGTCCCATTAATTTCTGTGATACAACTGTTACAATGGACTAAATTCAGACTGTTTTATAAACACTTGGTTTCAGACAGCTTTTTTCAAGTCTGCATCTGTGTGATGTCAGCAACAGTGGGTGTACTTAATATGGTCATCTCAAGCGCAGCAGCCCCAGCCAGTCAGAAGAAAGTTGGTGTAAAGAGAGGGCGGCCTTAGAGCTACAAGATGCACACTTCACACAGTGAGGGTGTACACTGAGGATCCCTAAAACAAATGAGGAATCATACACTCACTTTAAGTATACTTTATGATATACAGAGATACTTATTAATGCTGAAAACACTCAGAAATTTCAACCCAACCCCTCATCTGACATGGGAGCAGGTAGATTCCTGATTCAGCTGCTCCTAAGTCATAGGAAACCATATGACCCTGCTTCTGGGACTGGCACAGTGATCAATGGCTCCTAAAAACCTCTGGACTCTTCCTGAAAATTTACGAAGGCTGGACACTGAGGTGCGCAATGGGTGTGTGAAGTGTGTACAAGGGTCAGTGGGTGGATCAGAGGGGGACGCAGGAGAGCGAATGCCTTTGGTGTACATACCACAGTACAAAAGAACAACCTCCTGTGTGAGTGTAGTCATTAGTGCTTTCTTCTCTGTGTGTGTCAAGGTCAAAACAGAGCCTGATTACAGGGCGCTCTAGAGAGCTGCGGGTGTGTGTTTGTCGGCATGTGTGCACACAGAGGCTTCCCTTTTGAACGCAGGCAGCGGTTGCATTCCTGGCCCTAGGCGCTGGCTCTTGAAGCCAGATCTCAAGGAATTTGGGAAATGTGTGAGGGGGCATATCTCTGGTTGTGAACAGGAGAACGAGAGATGGCAGAGTGATGAGGGGAGGGCAGGAAAGGAAGGGGGGAAATCTATTTTGTTTGCCTTTTGTGGCCCCCTGGAGGATCAAGTAAGGTTGGTAAATTTGGAGGGAGGGACTGGTGACATAAGACGACGAGGGGCCAAAGATGAGGCCTTGTGTGCTTGCACGAACCAAAAGGAATTCTGATGAAAAAGGTTTAAAAAAGGTAATGCTGGGCAGCGAGAGCGATGTAGCAATACTGTTGGCGAGAGAATCAGTTTGGGTAAGGCGGTCTTGCCTCATTCGTACATTTCTCATAAGCATTTGAAAGAGATGGTGAGATATGGAGAGAAAAAGAGAAACTCGTCACCTTCTCTTCAGTCTCCAGCTCTTTGCTTAGCAGATTCTTCTCTGCCAAGTGCAGCTGTCTCTGTAGACTTTCCACCTTTTCCTGCAGAGCCTGAGGGAAGGGAGAGACAGTCAGTCAGCTGACTGACGCAGAGAGAAAAACATTTCGAATTCGGTGTGGCGTTAAGTGTTACGTGGCACAAATTGATAGACATTAATCTGCAGTTACATTTGAGATTGTAAACAGATGCACGCTTTATCTCAATAAGAGGCTACACCAGACTCAAGACCAGAGCTAAAAAAACAAGTAGATGGAGAAAACTAATAGGAATATGGAGTACACAAACATAGACAGAAGGACAATGAAGAGAGATACAGCTTGTGATTACTTTTTGGGAGGTAAAAGGCTATTAACAAAGCAATCTCAGTAATTACTATGAAGCTGCCCTCATTAACCCCAAACTGATTTTTAGACAAGGGCATAAAGAAAGACTTCCCCAGTATGGAAACAAACAAACTTTCTAGTCTTTTATAAAGCTGCAGTTCTTATTCCTTTCCTTGGCAGTACTAAGAAACATACACTGTATCATTTAGTGGATAACGAGCCCTCTCGCATGTATTCCAGTACCTGTGCCGATCAAATTTCTCCACAAGGTACCAATAAAGAATTCAATCTATTTTGCTTTCTAAGACTCAGGCAAGAAAGAAGAATAAAAAAAAAAAAAAAAAAAAAGAAACGCACAAAGTAGTTTTCCCCCCTTTCTGCCCGTAAGTGATAGCAAGGCACAGTTCCTGCGTACGACCCAGAACCAGATGTTCCGAGTGCACATGTGGACACTTCATCTTCGATTAGCCTGCATGGAAAGCAGGGACTGATATGTACACACGTGCAAGTGTGCGTGCACACACACACACACACACACACACACACACACACACACA